GGAGGGAACAAACAAAAAAGATCCCAAGCAGTTTGGCCTCAACTGCCCCCACCCTAAAAGAAACTAAAAAGAGTTAAATATCCGAAATAGCCAGTAGGCACATGAAAAATTGTTCAAGATCACTGATCATGAGAGAACTGCAAATTAAACTAAACTGGTAAATGCCATGCAAGTAAGGTTTTTGTTTTTAAAAATCACAACTAAGGAAGCATATAAAAGTTCCAACTTCTCTCCACGACAAGGGCTTTATTAAAAAGACATACCACACCAAAAGTGGATGATGTGGAACAAATAGTTTGGCAGTTTCCTATTCAGTTAAAACCACACACCTACCCTTTGACTCAGCAATTCTGTCTATGTATGCAGCCAAAATAAATGAAAACATATGTCCACATAAAGACTTGTACAAAAATGTTTAGAGAGCTCTATTCATAATAGACAAAAGCTAGAAACAACCAAAATGTTCATCAATAGGACAGATAAACTGTGGTATAACTATTCAATGGAATAAACTGTTGTTTATCTGCAACAATAGTTAATGACAATGCAACATGAATTAATCACTAAATATTATTCTAAATGAAATAAGCTTTACACAAAAGAGTATATATGATATAATTCCATTTATATAAAATTTTGTGACAGGCAAAACTAATTTATGATGAAAGAAAACCAGTAGTTGCCTTCAGAAGTAGTGACTGGGAAGGGACATTAGAAAATTTTCTGCAGAGACAGAAGCATCTGTACCTTCATAGGGGTACAAGTCTGTGTACTTTCACACATGTAGATTTACCTAAAAAAACTACAAAAATAATCCTCTGAGGAAGCAGAAGATAGGAAGGTATGGGTGAAGAAGAATGGCAAGATGGTGACAGCTGCTGAAGCTGAGAGATGGGGTTTGGCATATATATACTGTTCTATTTATACTTTATATGTTTAAATTTTCCATGATAAAAATACTTTTCCAATATGTAGAGGCATAATCCAACAGGCACCTAGGAGCAATATGCTTACCAAACAGACCACAGCAATGACAAGTTCCTGATCGAGGAGGACGCCCTAAGGAGTTGAAGAGTTCTGGATTATTTATGGACAAAGAATTCTCAGTCAACTTGTAGAATTTTTTTGACTTTGCAGGACATATGTTATCTCTGGGCTTCTATTAAGAAAAGAGAACAGTAATATTAGAATTTGGCAATAACTTTTTACCTTAAATACTAGATTTGAAATTTCCTCTTTTGATAAGATAGAGTAGATGTACAGGGCGGGGGACCCCCAAAAAACAGAATTATCTTTGGGTGGGCCCCTTGTAGTATAGCCTTCCCCCACCAGATAAGTATTCTCGGAGCCCATCAGCATCAGTGTATCAGTTAGTATTGCTGTGAGAGCCTGCATTCGGTTTCAGTTAATTTTTTTTTTTTTGAGATTCTTTCAACAAGTTTGCCCACTTCATGATAAGTGATTTATGGCACACCTGCCTACACTGTGCTAAGTGTTCAGCAGTTTTCGACCAAATATGGTAGGGCCCCACCCTCCCTATTCACCTGGTCTCACCCCAAGTGACTTTTTTTTGGTTTTCCTGGATAACAAAAAATCCTCAAAGGGAAACGTTTTGCTGATGTGGAAGAGGTGAAACAAAAAACAGCAGAAGCACTAAAAGGCACCAAAACTGATGAATTCAAAGACGGTTTGAGCAGTGGGAAAAGCATCTCGATAGGTATATTGCATCAAACAAAGAGTACTTTGAAGGTAACTGAAGTTTAAACATGTAAGAATGAATAGACAATTTCTAATAAATTAATTCTGGGTTTTTTTCCTGGTCCCCTCCTTGTCCTTTACTCAATTCCTCCTGTTGTAAAGTACAACTAACTCCTGAGCTTATACATAAAACAAACACAAGACGACTCTGAAAGTGGGAGAAAGGAGGCAGACTGACTAGGAACCTGAGGACCCAAAAGGACATGGTGGCAGGGTCTCTGAGTTTGCTTTTTGCCTCATATATCCCAAACTGGATACTCCAAAAGGTACACAAAATAAAAAGCCAACAACTCCAAAAGGTACAGACAATAAAAAGACAACAAAAAAATCCCTGCTTTCTAGCTGGGTGTGGTGGTGTGCACCTGCAGTCCCAGGTACTCAGGAGGCTGATATGGAAGATCACTTGAGCCCAGGAATTCAAAGCTGTAAGAAGCATTAATAATGTCTGTGAAGAGCCACTGTATTCCAGCTTGGGCAACATAGGGAGACCCCATCACTTAAATTTTTTTTAAAAACCTGCTCTCTATAGCCAAAGAATCAGGAAAGAGGCCAACCAACAAGACAGAGAACATTTAACAATAAGTGCTCTACTCCAGATAAACATTACAGGAAAAAAAAAAGGGATCTCACTCCCACCAGCAAGGTAGAATGTACGGCCTAGAATTTCACCTTCATGGTAATAAGGTGCTCCAACCCACTCACTGATCAGAGAAGGTCAACAGAATAGGGCACCAGCACTTCATCCATGGGACTTGGGGAGAATAACTCTCCTCCCTGTGGATACCACGTGGGGAACCTGTTTCTACCCAGCAGTAAGGAGGTTCCCCTGCTCCTACCAGGGTGTTGTCATAAAAGGCCTAGTGGAGGAGAGTCAGGAATTTTCACTATCATTCAACAGTAACAGGTCCCTCCCAACACCTCATGCCTATAGTCAGCCCTTGTCCCTATCCATCAGTAGAGACTGCATGAGACCAGTTTAACTAGGTACTCACCACTCCCAGCCAGAAAAGAATCAGTTGAGGCCTAGTGGGAAGCTGGACTCTCATCCTCACCCGGGAGTACAAAGACCTCCCCAGCTGAGTGCCAACAGAGGCTGAGTGGGGAAGCTGAACAACTATCCCACACCTGGCAGTAACAAAGCAGCAGCCCTTCCCCTGATGGAGCAAGTGCCAGAATAAGACAGCTAAAACAGAAAGTTTAAATAAGACATCGTCTCATAATAATACCCATTATATCCCATTTTCAATAAAAAGTAACTCACCATACCAAGAATGAGGAAAATCCCAACCGAATGCAAAAAACAAACAAAAGATGCCAACATGAAGATGACAGAGATGTTAATTTATCTATAAAGACTTTAAGGCAGGCAGCCATCAATATTTTAAGAAGCAATTATAAACATGCTTGAAATAAATGAATAGAGAATCTCAGTAAAGAAACAGAAGACATAAAGAAGAACCAAATGGAAATTTTAGAACTGAAAAGTGTAATAATCAAAATAAAAAACACATAGGCAGGTTCAACAGCATAATTGAGGGAAAAGAGGAAAGAATCAACGAACTTAAAGACAGAATAAGCCGGGCTTGGTGGCTCAGCCTGTAATCCCGCGCCTTTGGGAGGCTGAGGTGAGTGGATTTGCCTGAGCCCGCGGGTTCGAGACCCGCTTGGGCAACTTGGCGAGACCCCATCTCTACAATAAATCAAAAAATTAGCCGGTCGTGATAGCGCGCACCTGTAGTGCCAGCTACTCGGAAGGCTGAGGCGGAAGGATCGCCGGAGCCCAGCAGGTCGAGGCTGCGGTGGCCGGGAGCGGCCACTGCACTCCAGTCTGGTGACAGAGTGAGACTCTAACTCAAAAACAAACAAACAAACAAACAAACAAAAAAGACAGAATAGTAGAAATTGCCTCATTGGAACAATAAAGAGAAACAGATTTAAAAAAAAATGAACAGAGCCTCAGGGACCTGTGGGACTATACCAAAAAAATCTAGCATTTCATATCTTCAGAAAAGAAAAATAAGATAGGCCTTAAGAGGTACTCAAAGAAAATTTTCAAAATTTGGCAAAATATATAAATTTATTAATTCAAGAAGCAGAGTGAACTCCAAACAGAAAAAACACCAAAACATGTCTTGGTCAAACTTCTGAAAACTAAAAGTTTGAAAGCAGAAATAGGAAAATGATATCTTTCCTACAGGGAGAAAAACAATTCAAAAGACAGTAAATTTCTCATTAGAGACTATGGAAATCAGAAGGAAGTGACAAAACATTTTTCAAGTTCTGAAAGAAAGACCTGTTATCTGAGAAACTATTCTTCCCCTCTCCCCATAAAAGCCCTTTGGGAACAAACAGGAAATAAAGACGTTCTCAAATGAAAGAAATAAAATTGAGATAATTTATTGCCAGTAGATCTATCCTAAGAGAATGACTTAAGAAAGTTCTCTAAACAGAAGGAAATGATGACAGAACAAACACTGAAATAGAAGGGGAAGGAAAACACAATAAGCTAAAAGTATGGGTAAGTAAATAGACTTCTCTTGAATGTTCTAAATTATGTTTGACAGTTCAGGCAAAAATGAGTTAAGTGTAAGGAACATAAGGGGAATAAGGTGTCTATGCTATACTCAAATTGGCAAAGTGATGACTCCAATAGACTGTGACAAGTTGTGTCCACATGATGTAATATCTAGAGCAACCACTGGAAAAGCTATACAAAAAAGATATGAACTTAAAAACACTATAAATCATAATTGAATTACAAAAAAGTGTTCACATAATCCACAATAAGGCAGGAAAAAAAAAACTGAAAACAAAACACATACAGTACACTTAAAACCTTAAATATCAATACTTACATCAAATGTAAATGGTCTAAATATACCAGTTAAAAGACAGATTAAGTGAATGAATTTGAAAAATTTTAGTCAACTATATGGTATCTATAAGAAATTCATTTCATGTATAACAATACAGAAAGAAAGTAAAAAGATGGAAAAACATGTAAATGTTCATAAAAAAATGAGTGGGCTGTATTAATATCAGATAAAACAGAGTATAGAGAAAGAAAATTACCAGGCACAGAGAGGGACATTATGACAACAAAAGAGACAATCAAACAAGACATAGCAGTCCTATGTATGCATCGGACAGAACTTCAAAATGTGAAGCAAAACTGAACTGAAAAAAGAAACATTACAGAGACTTCAATACCCTTCTGTCAATAATTGATATGATTAGATAGAAAATGAGAAAGAATAGAGAAGAACTCAACATCACCTCCCACCAACAAGATCTACTAGCTATTTATAGATCATCTGACCCAACAACAGAACAATGTACATTCTTTTCAAGTGCTAACAGAACATAAACCAGGACCAGATCCTGAGCTATAAGTAACAAACCTCAACATGTTTAAAAGAACCAAAATTATATAGAGGGCATTCTCTGATCACAGCAGACGCAAACTAAAAATCAGTTGGAGAAAGAATATAAATAATCTTCAAACACTTGGAAACTAAAAAATACACTTCTAAATAATGCATGGGTCAAAGGGGAAGTCTCAAGGTAAATAAAAGATACACTAGGGTAGGCGCAGTGACTCATGCCTGTAATCTGCTTTGAGAGACCAAGGCAGGAGGATTGTTTAAGGCCAGGAGTTTGCGACCAACTTGGGCAACACAATAAAATGCTGTCTCTACAAAAAAAAAAACAAAAAAACTAGCCACATATGGTGGTGCATGCCTATAGTACCAGCTACTCAGGAGGCTGTTGCAAAAGGATTACTTGATCCCAGGCGTTCAAGGCTACAGAGAGCTATGACGTCAACACTGCACTCCACACCCTGGGCAAAACAAAACACTGAATAAAATGAAAATACAAACCAAAATTTGTAGGACACAGTTAAAGCACTGGTGAGAGCAAATGTATAGAACTAAATGCCCATCTTAGAAAAGAATTCTTAAATTAGCAATGAAAGCTCTCATCAAGAACCTAGAAAAAGACCAGGCTAGGTGGCTCATGCCTGTAATCCCAGTACTTTGGGAGGCGGAAGCAAGAGGACTGCCTGAGCCCAGGAATATGAGACTAGGCTGGAAACATGGTGACACTTTGTCTCTACAATAAATTTAAAAAATTAGCCAGGTGTGGTGGCTCACACCTGTAGTCCCAGCTACTTGGAAGGCTGAGGTGGAAGGATTGCCTGAGCCCAACAGGTCGAGTAGTCATGATTGTGCCACTACGCTCCAGCCTGGGCAACAGAACTAGACTGATTCAAAGAACCTAGAAAAAGAAGAACAAAATATGGCCAAAGGAAGCAGAAGAAAGGAAACAGTAAAGATAAAACCAGAAATCAATTAAAATAAAAGCAAAAAACTTAGAGGGAAAAAAATGAAAGAACTGGTTCTTTGAAAATACCAATAAAACTGACAAAACTCTAGCAAGATAGACATTGAAGGGAGAATACAGAAATTACCAATATTAGAAGTGAAACGGAATATTACTGCAGACTCTACAGATATCAAAATGATAATAATGAACACTTGGAACAACTCTACACACACAAATTCGACAATGTAGACAAAATGAAACAATGTCTTTAAAAACACAAATGAGCCGGGCTCGGTGTCTCAGCCTGTAATCCCCTGCCTTTGGGAGGCTGAGGTGAGTGGGCTGCCTGAGCCCACGGATTCGAGACCCTCCTGGGCAGCGAGACCTCATCTCTGCAATAAATCAAAAAATCAGCCAGGCGTGGTAGGGCGTGCCTGTAATTCCGGCTACTCGGAAGGCTGAGGCAGAAGGCTCGCCGGAGCCCAGCAGATCGAGGCTGTGGTGGCCGGGAGCAGCCACCGCACCCAGTCTGGGCGACAGAGTGAGACTCCAACTCAAAAAAAAAAAAAAAAAAGCCACAAATGAACACAATATGAAATAGATCATCTGAATAGATCCTAATTATAAATATTAAGGAAATTGAATCATAATCATACTTTAAAAACTCCCCCAAAATATCTCCAGGTCCAGATAATTTTCATTGGATAATTCTACCAAATGTTTGAAGAAGTAGTAACACCAATTCTATATAATCTCTCTCCCAAAAAACAGAAGTGGGAACACGTCTAAATTCATTTTATGAAGCTAATATTACCCTGATACTCAACCCACATAAAGATGGTAGAAAAGAGAAAATTGCTGACGACAATCTCTAATGAAAACACATGTAAAAATCACTACCATATCAACCAACACCAAAAAAGCATTTGACAAAATCCAACAACTATTCCTGATAAAATCAGAAAAGCAGGAATAGAGAACACTTCATCAACTTGATAAAGAACATCTATAAAAATCTAAATCTAACATTATACTTAATGGCAAAAGACTGAATGCTTTCTGCCTAAGATTGGAAACAAGACAAGGTGTCTACTGTCACTCTTATTCAATAGAGTGCTAAAAGTTCCTACCAGTGCAATAAGGCAAGAAAAAAGAAATAAAAGGCACATACATTGAAATGAAAGAAAGCTGTCCCTACCTGCAGATGATATGATAGTCTATTAGAAAATTTTAAGAGTTCTAAAAAAGATTCCTAGAATAAGTGACTTCAGCAAGATCACAGACATAAGATAAACATACAAAAACCAATCATGTTTCCATATATTAACAATGAACATGTAAAAATTAAAAAATGAGAACACATAGAAATAAAAATAGTATTTACAATCACTTAGATAAAAGACCTACTTAAGACCTACTTAACCTAACAAAACATGCCTAAGACTTGTAAGTTGAAAACTACAAAATGAAAGAAAGAACTACATAAATTAAGAAAGATTGTGTTAATAGATTGGAAGATTCAACATAGCAACGATGTTAATAATTCCCAAAGTAATATACAGGTTTAATGCAATTCACTTCAAATTCTCACCAAAATTTTTTGTAGACATGGAAGAGATTATTCTAAACTGTATATTGGAAGGCAAAGGAACCAGAATAGCTTAACGTTTTTTTTGCAAACAAAGATAAAATGGGAACAACCACTCTTACCGATTTCAAAATTTATTACACAGCTCCAGTAATCAAGACTGTGTGGTACTGGTGGAGAGACAGACATATGTATCTATAGAAAACAATACATAACTAAGAAAATACCTACACAGATATGTCCAACTGAATTTTGGCAAAAGTACAAAAGCAACTCAGTAAAGATAGTATTTCAACAAATGGCACTGGGCAAAAATATCCATAGGCCAAAATAATTATCCATAGGCCAAAATCAATCCATCCATCGCAACCTAAGTTTCTTAAGCAAAACTCAAAATGGATCAAAACTTCAATGTAAAACTATCAAACTTTTGGGGGAAAAAAATGAACATTTTCAGGATCTAGAGTAGCAAAGAGTTTTTTAGACTTGATACCAAAAGCACAAAAGCATAATCTGCAAAGGAAAAATGATCTTGCCAAGAAGATGAAAAGACTAGGAGAAAATATTTGCAAATCATATCCTTGACAAATTTCTAATATCTGAAATTTATATAAAGAACTTTCAAAACTCAGTTTTTAAAAGTTCAATTAGAAAATGGACAAAAGATATAAAAAACATTTCACCAAAGTGGATATACAGATGGCAAACATGAAAATGTTAGGCATCATTAGCATTAGAGATGCAAATTAAAACCCACAATAAGATATTATTACATATCTACAAAAATGGGTAAAATAAAAATACTAACAACACCAAATGCTGGTGAGGATACAGAGAAACTGAACCTACTCATACAGTCATGTTGAGAATGTAAAATGGTACAGTCATTCGGGAAAACATTTGGCAGTTTCTTATAAAACAAAGTATGGGACTATTATTCAGTGTAGAAATTGCACCCCTGGACATTTACCCTAGAGTATTAAAAACTTAGATTTACATAAACCCTGCGCATAAATGGATATAGCAGTTTCAATTTTAATAGCCAAAAACTGGAAACCCAGGCATACTTAACAGATGAATGGTTAAACAAACTATCCACACCATAGAACACTTCCTGGCAACAAAAGGGATAAAACTACTGATACATACAACAATACAGAGATCAATCTCCACAGAATCACATCAAATGAAGAAAAGCCAATCCCCAAAAGTGACCTACTGCTTGTATGTAACCTCTTACATAAAATTCTAGAAACGACGAAACTGTGGAAATACAGATATTAGTGGCTGCCAGATTAAGGAAAGGGGGTAGGGTAGAAGGGAAGTATTGGCCATAAAAGGGCATATAAGAGAGGCTTGCAGAAATGGAAATGTTCTGTATTTTAATGGCATCAATGTCAATATGCCGGATGTAATGCTGTACTATAGTTTTGCCACATGTTACCAATGGGGGAAGCTAGATAAAGGCTAAACAGTATCTCCCTTGATTATTTCTCACAACTTCATGTGAATCTACAATTACCTAAAAAGAAATATATTTCTTAAAAAAAATATTAAGGGGAAAAAAGTTTAATCTCGAATGATACCTACAAATTAAATATTTATTTATTAAATACCAAAGTCTGTTTAAAATCTTTACCCAAACAAGGCACAAGATAGAAGAAAACAAATAACTTACAGTATTTACTTCTTTGAGTGGTGAATTACTTCCAGCATTTAATGGTGACACTGAGTCTCCTGGGGAGGAAAAACACAGTTCCTAATTAAAGACATATGATACTTTTTATTCCTGATAATGTAAAATAGTATAATTAGGGCGATATTCAAATAACAAGGCTATGCCATAATAGCCTTATAGCTATACCACAAATAAGCAACAACCTAGGACTTGTCTGAAATTTGCTTATTGCTTCTTTCAATGTGAACTTTCCTCCAATCTCTAAGGCAGTAGTTGTCAAATGTTTTTGAATTCAGAACCCCCTTACGCTCTTAAAATTTGAGACTCACAATGGACTTTTATTTATATGGCTTATTTCTATCAATATTTACTGTACTGTATTAGAAGTTAAAACTAAATTTAAGACACTTATTTAAAAATAAATGCATTACATATTCACAATTTTTTTTGGGGGGGGTGTTGTAGTATCACTTTGTCGCCCAGGCTGAAAAGCAGTGGCACACTCACAGCCACAGCAGCCTCGACCTGCTGGGCTTAGGTGATCCTTCCGCCTCAGCCCTCCAAGTAGCTGGAACCACGGATGCACACCATCCTGCCCAGCTAGGCTAATTTTTGTGATTTATTGTAGAGATGAGGTCTTACCAAGTTTCCCAGGCTGGTCTCAAACTCCTGGACTCAGGCAATTCTCTCACCTTGGCCTCCCAAAGTGCTAGGATTACAGGCTGAGCCACCATGCCCAGCCTACAATTTTTAAAAACATAACTGCCCAGCACTTTGGCACACACAAATCTGAAATCCTGATCTGATTGAAAGCTAAATTTTAAGCTAAATTTTATCACTGACAACAAAATACTGTCAGCTGTTTTTGTTAAAGTCACAGGCTCACTGTTAATTTTTGAGAAAATGCTTATAATATATCAAAATCTGAATAATCAGTTTGTCATCTCTTCTGTTTTAAAATTATTTTATATTTTATTTTGAGAAAGCAGAATTTATTAAGAGGACAGAAAAGGTCCCAAAGCGGGAGGGTACCTGAAGGGGTTGCCCAGTTTGTCATCTTTTCAAGTAAAATAAGATGTTTCCCTCAGCTCACAACTCAACCACATGCATGTTTTTCACATTTCAGCATGCAGTATAAGTCAGGCGCAATTCTCATTTCGTTACACAAAATACTAAAAATATTATACACAAGGATCAAGATGTAATAAAATACTGCTCCATCAAGAACATTTTTAAGGAAAACTGGCATTCCTGGCTTTTGTTTTAACTGCAAGTGTATGGCAATGAAAAACTTAATGACCTTCAGCCTAGGTTGGTATCTCGCCTTAAGTTGAGCTAATAAGGCATTCAACCACCCGTGCTTTTTGCACCATCAGCATAAAGTCAACATTTCAAAAAGGCAAATAATGTTTTAATATTATTGGGAAAGCAGTTTTGACCTCTTGAAAAACCATAGCGCCCAAGGGCCACATCCTGAGAATCACATCAGCATAATGTTAAAAGGTCACTTCTCATATGCTTCCTAAGAGACTAAATTGCACCAGGTCCTTGCCTTAAAAAGTAGGTTTTTAAAACTGGAACTAAAGGGATGATAAAAGAAATCACATTAAATTGGTTAAAAATCTTAGATATATCTCTATGACCTAATACATGCAAAAAAATTACATGGTATTCTTAAAATATGGTCACTCTTTAGAACACCTTTCTACATTCCTGAGGGGGAAAGCTCACTCATTCTATTACTAGGAATTTTTTCTGTGATCAATTAAACCAAAGGTAGCTACTTGGTATCTTGTTTTTCCTCTAAATTAATAATTAAATGCAAATACTATATGGTAGTCATGTGGCTGTCCTGTTAAAACCCCCTGGTGTGTAACTATATATACTTGAGATAAGTTGCAGAAATCATCAGAATCAAGAAACAGTAAGCCTGTGGTTTTCACTCACCTGTTGGCAATGTTTGCCTGTCTTCTTTGGATTCAACCACTTTTCCATTGATGCCATTAGGGTGTGAAGACACTAAATTGTTTTCCTGACTAGCCAAATACTGTTTAGTTTGCTCACAAAGCAAAAAATTGTACTTTTTATTTCCAATCTCTGGGCTTTTCAACCTGAAATTAGGATGGTTAGGATGTGCTCCAGGACTTCTTATAGAATCATGTGGTGGCATCTTGCTTTCATTTTTCTCAAAATTAAATGGCTCTGTCATTTTACAAGTAGATGCTTCCAAATTATTTCTTGTCATCATATTAAGCGGCAATTTAACATTCACAAAAGTCTAAGGGAAAAAATGTATTTAAAAGGAAAATTTTAATTCAAAAGTAGAAGTACTGCAGGCTCAGGTGATTTTGTTCAAATATTTATGTAACAGACAATTTCTATAAAAATGATTCCAAAGCAGACATAACTGTGACATCAAGATCCAGCCTACGGGGCACAAGAAAAGAAAAACAATTCTCTATCAGTAAGTATAAACTCCAAGTTTAACAATTCAACAACAATCCAACAAAAGATCATGTCATGAGAAATCAAGAAAGTAATCTCAGAGTTCAACACCATTATTCCTAACTTTTTGAAGCAAAAGTAACAGAAAAGGTCTTTCATATTTTAGAAGAAATATTCCCAACCTAAACTCTATGCCTTAATAGAAAAATGCAATAAAGATCTATTTAAATTTTTAAAAAGTAGCCGGGCTCAGTGGCTCAGCCTGTAATCCCGCGCCTTGGTAGGCTGAGATGAGTGGATTGCCTAAGTCCGTGGGTTCAAGACCCGCCTGGGCAACTTGGCGAGACTTCATCTCTACAATCAATCAAAAATTAGCTGGGCGCGATAGCGTGCGCCTGTAGTGCCAGCTCCTTGGAAGGCTGAGGTGGAAGGATTGCTGGAGCCCAGTAGGTCGAGGCTGTGGTGGCAGGAGCAGCCACTGCACTCCAGTCTGGGTGACAGAGTGAGACTCCAACTCAAAATAAATAAATAAATAAATAATAAATTTTTAAAAAGTATTAAGGGAAAAAAGTTTAATTTTGAATGATACCTACAAATTGAATACCTCTTTATTGAATACCAAAGTATGTTTAACATCTTTCACCCAGACAAAAGCACAAAATCGGGTCATCACCTACCTTCTGCCTTCACAGAATCCCTCTGCTCTCTTCCACTTCATGCTACAGCAAGCCGCACTGAGTCTGCTATCCATGACCCTGCTCTCTCATCCGCCTGCTCATCCTTCACAAACTGTCTCAGCTGCCCCCTATTCTGCCTGGTTTTCTAAGGCCCCTGCATTGATAATCTCCAGCTGAACGTCCATAAATTGTAACTTGTACCTACTGCTTTTAAGGACCTATGTATGTACACCTTTCTCCAAAAATATGTTAGACATATTGCATGCTTTCTAAGTTTAATACCTAATCCAGTGAAAATACAGAAAAGACATATTAAATATAAAAAAAGTTTTAATAACATAAAAACAAAAATACACAGGCACGCTCAAAGGCACACCGAGAACCCAGCTCCTGGGAAGATCCCTAACAGAAAGGGCAGCTATGGCAGGCTTGCAGATATCAGGGGAAGTACGCCTGTATCAATAATAAGCATGACTAAAGTGAAGAAATGGACTGAGAATACAATGTTTTATACAGTAAGAGAGAGTACTGTTAAATTACGAAAGGAAAATAACCTCCAAGGAAATTAGGTAGACCTGGAGATATGAATACTGACTAACTCTAGACTCTGAACAGGAAATGAAAAGAATGTGCATTAAATTATTAGAGTAACTGCAAGAATAGAAACAGAATGCGTAACTTTAAAATTGCAGAAGAAAAAAGTCTTAATCCAATAGGAAAAAATTCAAGTATGGAAAATAGAAAACATCAGATAAGATGACAGAACCCAGCACAAGTAATGTCAGTATCAAGGAGTTAGTCTCAATTAAAAGAGAAAAAGAGATACACCCAGGGAGAAAAACATTTAGCAAGATTTTAGACACAAACAAAACCAAATTATATGGTCAGGTTGAAAATAACAGGACCAAAATATGTACTATGCAAATAACTAAAATAAGAGTGGAGTGTTAATATTAATAGCAGATAAGGCTGGGCTTGGTGGCTCAGCCTGTAATCCCGCGCTTTGGGAGGCCGAAGTGAGTGGATTGCCTGAACCCGCGAGTTCGAGACCCACCTGGGCAACTTGGTGAGACCTCATCTCTACAATAAAAATCAAAAAATTAACCGGGCGTGGTAGTGCGTGCCTACCTAGTAGTTCCAGCTACTAGGAAGGCTGAGGTGGAAGGATCGCCGGATCCCAGCAGGTCAAGGCTGCGGTGGCCAGGAGCGACCACTGCACTCCAGTCTGGGAGACAGAGTGAGACTCTAACTCAAAAAAAAAAAAAAAAATAGATAAAATCAAACTCAAGATAGAAAATATTGAGGCAAAGGAAGATATTTTACATTGATTTAAAAAAAGAAAAAAAAAAACACTCCAAGGAGAGGGAGCAGCCAGGAATCTTTGAGTCAAAATGTTTTGAGATATGTAAAGTAAAAATTGAAGGAGAGGAAATAAAATCCACAACGATAAGAACATTACACCTGTCCTAGACATCTATTAATCAGACAGACAGAAGACAAGCAGTGGTAAGGACTATTTTAGTAACAATAACTTTATCTAATAGGGACCAATATAACCAAGAATATTCATTTTTTTCAACATTGAGTATATGCTGGACTACAAAGACCACCTCAACAAACTCCAAAAAACTAATATCATACAGGGTTCATTCACTCATCACAATGCACAAATGTCTCCATCTCAGACTGTACTTTCCAGAGAATCAGGCTGCAAGAACCATACTAGAGGATAAAGGGTTTTTATTGTTGTTTTAGCTCAAAAGAGAAAAAAAAAATCACAAAATAATGGCAAACATGACCAAGTGACTAATTTAAAATGCTCCAAAAATAGTAAACAGGCCAGAAAATATTACCACAGAGATAGCAAACTCAATACCTTATACTAAAAACATCCAGATACTGTAGCAGACACCATGGTTGACTGACTCAAAGCCGATTCAACCTCTGAATTGCCAGCTAGTTAGCTGACAACTCTGGCCACAATAGAGTTCTCCAGAAGGCAGTTTCTGAGAAAGCTCCACCCTTTCCTGATGAACAGGGAAGGACAGATATGGCTAGCAGAGTCCTTCACCCTTTTTTCCTGCAATATGGTCCTGAGGCCTGGAAATCAATAAACTCTGTTTTGCAATCAGGAAGCAATAAGCATACCCTCAGGGTGTGGAGGAGATAATGCAGAGCTTGGTGTCTCTGACAGTATACTTGAGTTACCACTCCAGCTCTGGTCTGCCCATGCATAAACTTGCTGTGGCATCACACAAACAAGCCCATGGGTTTTCTTTTATTTGCAGTCCAACTGATACAGATACCAATAAAATAAATTAGCAACGGCCATGAACAGAATACAGAAAGGATGAAGATTAATAAACATAAGGGAAAAAAACATTTAACTTCATCTATAGTAAAAAAAAATTCAAACTGAAATAACTATGTATTATTTTTTGCCTATAGTGGGACACTCATTACTGAAGGGCATATAATAAATTAATATGCTCTCTCTGGGAAGCAATTTGGCAATATATACATATATATCTAAGGAGTTTTAAAAAACCATTCCTAGCCACTGACTTGGCAATTTCATGTCTAGACATCATTCATTAAAATAATCCTAAATACCAAAAAATCCTATATGTGTAAATTTCCGTATAAAATAGCAAAGAAAAAGGAAAAAATAATTAAAGTGCTTCTACTAGATAGAATCTTACACTTTCAGAATCCTAATTTCCACCAACACCGTAAAATGACTGCTAGAATGGCAAATGAAAAATCAGAAAACTATATATTCAACATAATTCCAAATGCAAAAGAAAAACAACACTCCATGTTAAAAAAAAAGATGAATGAAATACAGTACATTTGAAATAATGAGTACTCTGGGGTAGGTGGGATGATGAGGTGATCCTTTCCACGGTCTTCTTTCATATTCCAAATTATGTTGAAGGCCGAATCACTTTTACAGGAAAAAATATTTTAAAGGTTGAAGAAACAGTCAACATTAAATGAAGCCCCCCCCAATCTGGTTACTTGATTCTAAACTAAGTAAAAGATGACAGTAACATTTAAACCATAAAACTAGGGTAGCCATCTTATTCATCTTATTCTCTATGAATTCTAACACACATACAGGTTTATGTGACTGAGTGGGACCCTCAATATGCTACATGTGACTCCTGAGATAGCCTTTCATGACACTGTTCTTATTTAGTAACAGACTGCCAGTCAATCCAGTCAGTGCCTCAAAACCTTGTATTACAGTTACCGAAAGATAGCTATGTCTGTTGTCTAAATTGTTTTAAGTTGCTTGAGTACAGGTACTCTTATTTTTGAAAACCAAATCTAAAAGAACTCTGATTTCCCACATGGTGCTTTGTTACAACTAGGCATTCAAAATATATCTGTATGACAAAAGCTATTTTAAATGCATGTAAATGCACGTTGTGCTGTTTTCATGACAATCTGGATAGACAGGGAAAATGAAACCCACTGTTTGAAATGACATCTGGCAGTCCAAAGCGTAGAAGCACTTCAGGCTATGAGGTTTATTGAAATTTAATAACAAAACTTTGTCTCACCGCAACTCTCCCAAAATCCCAAAATTAGTAAATATATTTGACTTAGGAACAACATTAGTCTTAGACTCACTGTAAAGTTGAAGTAAAGACAGTCCACATATGATGGAATATTTAAGCTTGAAAGACATCTCATTTGCTTCACCCTATTCCAGAATTTTCATTACAACTCCCAGGGCAAATAGAGACCTAGACCCGTTCTGAGACCTGAAGCTTCTTTTTTCTTTTCTTTGAGACAGGGTCTCATTATGTCACCCATATACAGTGGTATGATCACAGCTCCCCACAGCCTTGACCTCCTAGGCTCAGAGAATCCTTCTGCCTTAGCCTCCCAAGAAGCTGGGACTACAGGTACATGCCATCGTGCCTAGTTGACTTATTTATTTATTTATTTTGTAGAGACAGGTCACACTATGTTACCCAGGCTGGTTTCAAATTCCTGGACTCAAGCGATTCTCCTGCCTCAGCCTCTCAAAGTACTGGGATTACAGGTATGAATTACTGGCCTAGAAGATTCTGTCTTTCATTTGGGACAGCCAATTGTGCTGCAATCATCTTTGTAAAATGGTTCCCTTCC